TCAAAAGTATCGAGCAATATGTCCAACGGTATGCTACCCGAACATACTTGAGTTTCCGGCGTGCTGTTAAAGCGGAGTTGTTTTTGATGTTTGGTCCAGGTGTCTTGGCCAACCGACACGTCGTACATTACACTACCGCGTTTGCGCAGGATACGACCTGCAATCCATGAATCATGTCCTGGGCGATAGTCACGGACAAGCACGGGCGTTCCCACCTTGAATGGGGTTCCAACTGCTACCGGTATGGACCTTGACTCAGTAGGTTGTGTTGGCAACATGGAAGAATGCACAGTTCTAAGTTTACGTCCCATGAGTGCCTCTGCAGGTGACTGGTGGTTTGCCAAAGCGTCATTCGGGGTCGTTCGGTACACAAACAGGAATCTCTGAAGGGCTTCGACGGATGTCTCCTCCCCTCGAGCTTTAAGCAAAGCCCTCTTGAATGTGTCGACGAACCTTTCTGCTTGACCGTTCGATTGTGGGTGGTACGGTGGTGAACGAACGTGTGTTATCGTATGTCGAGTGCAGAAGTCGCGGAACTCAGCAGAGGTGAACTGCGAACCATTGTCTGAGACTATGGACTCCGGTAATCCATGCTGACTGAAAATGTTGGATAACACTCTCAGCGTACTAGATGTTGTTGGAGATGACACCGGAACGATTTCTGGCCACTTGGAAAAAGCGTCAATCAAAACCAAATAAAAAGTGCCATTTATCGGTCCTGCGTAATCAATGTGGATCCGAGTTTGAACCGTTCGCATTCTCGGTTCACGATGCCAGAATATGTGAGGAAGTCGTCTGCATCACTCTTCACTAGCTTCATGCATCGATAACGGATGTTGAAAAGTGACGTTTGCTCACCGAATATTTGTGAAAGCGTGTGGAGCGTTTCATCAAAAGTGAAATCGCGCGGGTTTTTTGGCAGAATATAGTTAGCGTACTTATCATGCTCTGCGGGTCCAAGTTTGCGGAGCAGGAGGCGAACCTTCCAACTATCATCTTGAAGTGAAAAATCGACCCTGAACAGGTCTTCATAGCGACGAAACCAAGCATCAAACGTTATGCCAGCTGAGGGTTCATAGCAAAATTCGTTGATACTGCCAGCGATTCCATCAACCGACTGTGGGACACTCGACGCCGCCGGTGAAGCCAAAGATGTAGTTGATAGTCGCTCCGTAAGTACTTTGATGAGTTGCAGTTGTTGCTCAAACATTACTTTGAGTTGTTCTGCCTCCATCTTGCGCCACCAAATATGTTACGGTTCTGTCACGCAGCGAGCAAACAATATGATAATGCGGATTGTGGCAATACTCTATCCCCAGCTATGTTGCTTGATCCAGACTCCTAGCACGGCGAATAGTAAGAAGACGAAAACCTCGGACACAAACTTTAATAACCCAACAACACCCGATCAACAGGCGATGCCCGGAGCTTCCGAACCCAAGTTAGTGGAAAGAATGGTATCCTGTACATGGTCGGACTTAAATTTCCTTGGAGTATCAACAGGCCATTGATTTATTCACAGTTTGACCTTGAAGATGCCGGGAATTCGCTAGCACACGCAAAAATACAGCGTTTTTGGGGGGATGTTGATATCCTCAACAATGGGCCTTAAAATAATCTCCTTTGATCAGTGAAAAATCGTTCAGCTGTAGCACTCTTTCGATGCCTAACTCCCATGCCACCAGAAGGAAGCATAAGTGCTGGGATACTGCAAGGTTACCGAAGCCTTGACAGGGAAAATCATAAGGCCGAGATCGGGTTCGAACCACGGACCTTCCAGTCAGTAAATTCGCGCTCTAACTACTCGAGCCATCTCGCCCCCTATAGATAGCACTGATACCCCACAACCATTCCATGATACTTGAGAATCAGGGCGCCGATGGACCTTATTCCTTTTGTCCAGCGATAGATAACAGGCAAGTGAGATCTCGTGAAAGCTTTATATGGCCGTTTCTTTAATAAATCCTGTGGGCTTTCGCCAGAGTCGGTTGCTCTTTAGAGCTTCGATTTCGGTCAAGATGTAGTCTCGGTTACTATCGTCTTGTGAAATGACCTCATTAAAGATAAAGTACCGTACACGTTCGTATCATCAACCAAAATTGCGCTCGTTGACCTGAGTGGTCCTGAAAACGTTGCAAGAACTCGTTTTTGTTTCAGATACACAGTGAGTAGGCGTACAAGTAGAAGTGACAAATAGGGTCCGATTTTCGAATCGTGTTCTGCTACTCCTAATGGTTCATCAACTAATAACCTTATCAGAGAGATCATTCCTTAGAAAGGAAGGTAAGAATCAGTGCCCTCAATTCGCAATGTGCTGTATTGTTTGTTTTTATTGGTAGGCTCTAGTAGGTCTGGTTCATCGCCACTGGCTTCTTAAACGGCCTGGTTTAGGTCGCCTATCAAAGTGACATGCCAGCACAGGGTCGCTGTGACAAGGTGACATAAATCACGGCAGTGAGGCGTGTGTCAGCGAATGGTATCCTGTACATGGTCGGACTTAAATTTCCTTGGAGTATCAACAGGCCATTGATTTATTCACAGTTTGACCTTGAAGATGCCGGGAATCCGCTAGCACACGCAAAAATACAGCGTTTTTGGGGGGGATGTTGATATCCTCAACAATGGGCCTTAAAATAATCTCCTTTGATCAGTGAAAAATCGTTCAGCTGTAGCACTCTTTCGATGCCTAACTCCCATGCCACCAGAAGGAAGCATAAGTGCTGGGATACTGCAAGGTTACCGAAGCCTTGACAGGGAAAATCATAAGGCCGAGATCGGGTTCGAACCACGGACCTTCCAGTCAGTAAATTCGCGCTCTAACTACTCGAGCCATCTCGCCCCCTATAGATAGCACTGATACCCCACAACCATTCCATGATACTTGAGAATCAGGGCGCCGATGGACCTTATTCCTTTTGTCCAACGATAGATAACAGGCAAGTGAGATCTCGTGAAAGCTTTATATGGCCGTTTCTTTAATAAATCCTGTGGGCTTTCGCCAGAGTCGGTTGCTCTTTAGAGCTTCGATTTCGGTCAAGATGTAGTCTCGGTTACTATCGTCTTGTGAAATGACCTCATTAAAGATAAAGTACCGTACACGTTCGTATCATCAACCAAAATTGCGCTCGTTGACCTGAGTGGTCCTGAAAACGTTGCAAGAACTCGTTTTTGTTTCAGATACACAGTGAGTAGGCGTACAAGTAGAAGTGACAAATAGGGTCCGATTTTCGAATCGTGTTCTGCTACTCCTAATGGTTCATCAACTAATAACCTTATCAGAGAGATCATTCCTTAGAAAGGAAGGTAAGAATCAGTGCCCTCAATTCGCAATGTGCTGTATTGTTTGTTTTTATTGGTAGGCTCTAGTAGGTCTGGTTCATCGCCACTGGCTTCTTAAACGGCCTGGTTTAGGTCGCCTATCAAAGTGACATGCCAGCACAGGGTCGCTGTGACAAGGTGACATAAATCACGGCAGTGAGGCGTGTGTCAGCACTCGTGTTGCCGTCTCTGATGATGTCGGCATAAGTTTGCAGTCACAATCTTGATAACACTGACGCAAGGGGCCTCTCGTATAGACAAGCCATGCTTCTGGCGACATTTGTCCACGGTAGCGTCTCCGGGACCTTTGGCTGGTAGCCGAGTGTTTTCCATACGTTCATTTGGTTCTGTTTACCGTGAGTCACGTACATATGTGGCGTGAGCTCAGCTCAGGCGCCATCGCTTCGCACCTATCCGAAGCCGTTCACATAAATGATCGAGCCTTTCGCATGATCTACAGGGTATCTTTCAGCCGATCACAATGTTTGAGAACCTGGCTGTTATCTATGGTTGAGGCAATCGCGGTTCGTTTGCACATTCCTAGCCTTTGCATTCAAAAGAGATCTGCGTGAACTTTGAACCAGTGCTGACCCATTGAACTTTTGACCGTGTCCTCCTCAGGGGTATCTCGCTGGGCCCTGTTCATGTGAATTGCAATGTGTTAGCTGGATGAACAATCACAGTAAACGGAACTTGTTTGTGACACTCTACGGAAGTGACCCTTTGCAGAAGAGTCACTTGCGATAGACGTTGTGCGCAGGTTGGCATTCGAATGAGAGACTGCACATAACTATTACAAAGTGGCTGTTGGGAACTTGATAGAGATCGCGTTTAACTGCTTGATCCTAGCTTACACCCTTGAATAGGCTACCGGGGTAAACTCTTGATCTAGTCAGCTAAATCCACGAATAGCCCGCTAATGTCGTAGGATCATATGACTATAGTTGTGACCACCAAGAGCGTCTTTGAATGACTCGAATTGAATGGGAAATCTGCATCAATAAGAACAGGGAACTATTGCGTAAAGGTGAAACTAGCCATCCTATATCCCGTACGCGTACTGTTCTTCGTCTAGCCCAATCTTTTCTTATGTTGTAATCCATTTCACAGACTTCAAATATCAGCCAAAGCGCATTGGATGACTATAATCCGTTTGCAGAATCAGCCTCTGGTAAGTCGCACTACTGTTGTATTTGAGTTCCATGAACTCAAGTTTCCGCCTCAGGGACGGGTTTCGATAACATGAGTCGACGAAATCCCTCTCAGTAGTCAATCTTGGTGACAAGTTTGTTAGATCCTGTTTAGAACTGAGCTGTATTGGCTCGGTCCATTAGGTACGTTAGTTATATTGGCCGCTGATGAGGCAGTTGCTGAAGTGAGCAGCAATGTGGCAAACAGTAGTCACACGTGTGTCTGCAAAACTTGGTACGCTCTATGTTTGCTTGAGAGAACAGCTCTATGACCATGCTTCATTTTTGGGAAATTGATCGAACATACCACTTTCTTTCTAATATCTCCGATTACATTCTCGTTAGAGTTTTAAAATTTCAAATCATCATCGACAGCATGACATCAGTGTTCAATACCAGTGCTTCACTGCCGTACATGGTTGTACCAGGGCTTAGATACTGCCAGG